TATTTATATATTTATATATTTATATATTTATATATTTATATATTTATATATTCACGACAACAGCTAACACACCTTAAATAGGTGTAGACCACATCGATAAATCACAAAATAATCATTAATATCGTCAACTAGCAATTTTGCCTCCAGCACTACTACGCTACTCAAAGTGCAACAGGTAGCCTCACTTCAAAATGGGAGATAGCATTTGTGTTTTCTCACAGACCCTGCCGAGTAGAGGAAATAAGTACTACTTATGAGTAGTCGAATAAGCATCAAAATGTCGACTGGCCACACGGAATCCCGCTAATATGTCTTCCTCGGAAGTTGCTTCAGAAGAGGTATTAACTTAATATACTAAATAGTTAGTCTGAGATGTATTCACCCAATTTCGTGTAAGGTGATGAAGGATTGGTAGAAGAAGAATTATTCCACAATCATATGAGTTGAGCTGACGCCTCCATTCAATTTCACGTAGCCTAGCTTTCCCAAAAGTTGTAATATTCTTATATTGTGCTTGCCAGAGATGCGAACTTGTATTTTGTCATTACAATTCAATATATTACTTATATTTATTGATAGTAGGTTTCGTGCTTATCGGTAAATCTGAAAAGATGTTTCTAGTCGCCCTAAGGTGATGAAGGACTGATATTATCACATTTTTATAGCGTTATTGACCATGAATAAAACTTGTTTTTGTCATTGCATTAAGTATATTCACTGAAAGTAGTTTTTGAGACAGTCAGTTACTCTTGAAAAAAAGAGTAACTCATATCATTGTGGCAAAATTCTTCTTCCACCAGTCCTTCATCACCTTAAACGACATTGTGTGAATACATCTCATACTACTTATTTACTGGTAGTCATGAGAACAAAGCTTAATTTGAAAAATTAAATAGTCAATCGCCTGAATAAGAAATGCGAGTTAATAGTATATATAAGTAGTATAAGAGCAACTCTGTTTATTTGTACCTTCGGAAGGCGCTGGAGCATCAATTCCCATGCATCACTGGGAACAAATACATCCAGTTCACTATTATTTGCGCTCGAACTTGCAAATGATTCTGTCGGCTTTTGCATCAAAGTCTGTTTCTGGGCTCACGAATTTGGTGAAATAGCGAAATGGAAAACGGGAAATGCTTGTAATTTAATCAAAATAACTACCTGGTGCAAGTGAGGAAGCGAATATGTTGGTTGAATTCAATAGCTTAACGGATAAATGAAATTAGATAATTTGGGCCTATTCTGAAAAGGTTGCCACCTCGAAGGAAATGGTATCTAAACGAGTTGAAACACGACTGACCCCACATTTCTGCATAAACTTTGGGTATGAAGAAGTTTGCTCGGAGCGCGTGCGTGTACACGCTAATTTGGTGCTTTCTAAGTTACAAAACCGGCAGTGATCAGTTAAATCTGATCTCGATCATCAAGCTCAATGACCCTTTTCGTTTTTCTCCTTTCTCTACTTCTTCGTATTCTCTTAATCCTTTCCGACTTTCTTTACACAAACTGCGATCGTAATTATAATCTCGAAAAGTGTTAGAAACATGAGAATCACGTGAATCAAGAGATTATAATATTATATTATATTTGCCTTTCGACTGAGGTAGCTACTTATAATCGATTTGAGTAGGCTTCAAAACGGTTACTAGTTCTTTGATATGAAATTTGTCAATCTAGGCCGATTAATGCGAATTAAGGACTGCTGCTGGAATTTTTTCTTCATTCCCATGATAAAGCGATGGCAAAAGTGTAGTACCACCTGAAAGTTGGGGGTACTTCGGACTCTTTATGTGTGTGTGTGTGTGTGTGTGTGTGTGTGTGCGTTTTCCCCCAAGTCGCCTAAATCGACTTCGCCTGACAAAGTTCTAATTGAAGCGACTGGTTTCCGATAGCGTTGGTGACCGGCTTGGAGACAAAATAGGCAACCAGGTGGTTAAAGTAAACTCGCCCACCCTTCGCGTTGCCATAGCCCAACGTTTAGTCGCTCATCGTCGTTTTCCAAGCGCCCGACAGCAGGTTCACTGTTGCATCACACCCGTTCAGCTCGTCGTCTTCACCCGCCTGCCCGCTCACCCCTTCTTAGAGCAATGTGAATGTGTGTTTTTACAGTGTGCTGCAGAGACTGAGCCTGCGTCGGTTCGCTCGACTGGCTCGGGTCAAGTCGAGTGTGTGAGTGACGCCGAGTGTGGACAGACCAGTTGGGTCGAGTTGTGCCCACGTCACCGACGGACATGTCAAGTCGTGACAGTTGATCCCCACAAAGCCAGATCACACAAAGCCGAGCTCGGGAGGCGGCCGACTCGTGCGCCTTGATCCGACCTCGCGCGATCTGATCGAGGCCGCCCGATCGGCGGATCGCCATCTCGAGAGGGCGCCCCAATCTCGGCGATGACACGGCGCCGTGTGATTCCCCCCCTCAGCCTCTTGTGGGCGGACAGAATGAGCGCTGAAACTGTCGAAAACGACACACTTGCAAACACATCTTTCGCGTAATGACGTCTCTTTTCGCCCTATTTCTTGTAGGGTTGCGCACAATTGGTGGTAGTCTAAAAGACCTGCTTGCAAATTGCGAAAGTAAGTAACAAAGTCTACTTCAACTTGCAAATGAAGCTCCATTTTCGTTTACAAAAAGAGTTTTGGGTCTACCAGAAAATCTGATTTGTTTAAGGCGATGCAGCGCTGGTAGTAGAATTTTCACACAATCATATGAATTGACCTGACGTTGCCGGGCAATTTCACAGAGCTTTGCTTTCCCAAAAGTTGTTCTCAGTTTGTAATATTAAAACGTCAGCCACTACGTCACATTGTCACGAGTGTGCTTGGCTCACATGGCACATGTGAATTTCAAGGAAGGCCGGGCATTTTTCCATATCACATCCAATGGTGGGATTGTCAAGGAAGCAAAGTTATGCTCGCCAGTTAGTTTATAAGGAGAGTTTCGAGAATACCGCTAAATCGGTTATTCATTCTATTTGGTTTAAGGTGGTTAAGGAGTGGTAGTTGAATTTTCCTACACCTGATTGACTGGTAGTCTCGAAACTCTACTTATAAGCAAAAATAAGTAGTGCAATCAATTGTCATAGCAAATATGACTTGCTTTAAATAATGTAAAATAGGAAAATTTCTTGACTTTCTTGTAATTCACGTCTGCCCTCTGACCCAATGGCACTCGTAGCAATGCGGCGTACCGATTAACGTGTCAAGATTACATGTTGCCCCGTCATGGTTCGAGTCCCACAGGAGGACGAGAGCAACTTTGGGGGAAGCAAGGCTGTGTGAAATTCAATGTGGACGTCAGCTCTTTTTTCACACCAGTCCTTCATCACTTGGACATAATCAGGTTGGTACATCTCAAAGACAACTTTGTCTCATCGGCAGTTGCACTGGAGAAAGTGAGGCGGGAATGGCTTGGACTGCCCCGAAAGTTGCGTCTGGCGTAGCCGGCGACATTTCGAGGTCACACACTGCCCTACCACAACCACAGTTCGAGTCCCGCCGAGGGTTGTCATGAAGCAGTCCACCCCAGCCTGGATACAAGTAATATGAGATGTATTCACCCAATTTCGTTTAAGGTGATGAAGGACTGGTAGAAGTAGAATTTCCCCACAATTATGTGAGTTGAGCTGACGCTTACATTGAAATTTTACATTTGTGGGAAAAATCTACTTCTACCAGTCCTTCATCAATTTAAACGAAATTGGGTGAATACATCTTATAACTGATTTACTGGTCGTCACGAGAAACAATACTTAATTGGATATAAGTAGCCAAGCTGTGTGAAATGGCCTGGAAATATTAGGAAAAATCATATGATTGTGGGAGAATTCTACTATCAAATGGGGTCTTTTTCAAGATCTACCAATATTTCAAATTACTTACTTAAAATACCCACAAAGCATGTTTGTCCGATTGATAATTAAAAAAAAAGTGAATTGTATTCTTACAATGTTGAATCTTTCATGTGATATATGGGCACTGGTAGCTTTGTGGGGGTGTGCTAACATCGTCACGATACCAAAGACAAGGGTTCGAATCCCGCTGTGGGTGCTGATTAGACGATCGAATGAGGTCAAAGGTGCAATCCGTCCCGGCGAATATTGTCTTTTGGGAGTATAAAATAAAGGGAAATTCTTTGGTACCTCAACCTTTCCTTACATGCTAGGCAACACCTCAACGAATGGTCCTTTCATCATCGTATCCGACCCAGACCGCCTTATTTATTGTTCAAGCATAACTGATAGTCTCGAAAACTACTCATATCTAAATTAAGTAGCGTTGTCTATTGCACCGGTTGAGACGTGTTTGCCTAATCGACATTCCCACAATAGAAATGCAATTGGCTTTTAATGTAGTTGCTGTGCTATAGCATCTGCCCGACTACTGATAATGACAATGATGAAGCAAGGTCAAAAGAGCTATCCACTTCGGAGAAGATAGTCTATCGTGAGTATAAGGCCAAGTGAAATGCACTAACATTTCGTCTTTTTATCGGATTGTGGGAACAATTTAAGCTCTCAGTGCAAAAATCATGTCTAAAAGCCTAGGCTTACTAAATTATTCGACTCCCGCCGGGGGTTTTGATAAGACCGAAGCATATGATACATTATATCTTTATATATTTAATAATAATATCTACTTCCTATTACGGGGGAGTATATGATACATTATTATATA